ATATATACATACATATAATTTTTTTCCTTCAACTACCCTAATACTGACAAAGTTCTCATGAGTTATAAATATCATCTTTCCATGCAGGAATGTAAACAGTTCAATCTTAATAAGTCTCTTATGATTACTCTTTCCTGTTTACTTCTTCATGTTCCACTGGAGTCCTGTATTTGAAAGTCAAATTTTCTATTTAGCTCTGGTCTTTTCATCAGGAATGCTTGAAAGTCCTCTATTTCACTGAATTACCACTTTTTCCCCTGAAGGATTATATTCAATTTTGCTGGTAGGTGATTCTTGGTTGTAATCCTATGTCCTTTGCCCTCTGGAATATTATATTCCATGCCCTGGTCCTTTAATGTAGAAGCTGCTAAATCTTGTGTTATCCTGATTGTGTTTCCACAGTACTTGAATTGTTTCCTTCTGGCAGCTTGTAATATTTTCTCCTTGACCTGGGAACTCTGGAATTTGGCTACAATATTCCTAGGAGTTTTCCTTTGGGGATCTCTTTCAGGAGGAGATCTGTGGATTCTTTCAATTTCTATTTTGCCCTCTGGTTCTAATATATCAGGGCAGTTTTCCTTGATAATTTCTTGAAAGATGATGTCTAGGCTCTTTTTTGATCATGGCTTTCAGATAGTCCAATAATTTTTAAATTCTCTCTCCTGGATCTATTTTCCAGGTCAGTTGTTTTTCCAATGAGATATTTCACATTGTTTTCTAATTTTTCATTCTTTTGGATTTGTTTTACAGTGTCTTGATTTCTCATAAAGTCACTAGCTTCCAATTGCTCTAATTTTTAAGGAAGTATTTTCTTCAGTAATCTTTTGGACTTCCTTTTCCATTTGGCCAATTTTTCTTTTTAGGGCATTTTTCTCCTCATTGGCTTTTTGGACCTCTTTTGCCATTTGGGTTAGGCTATTTTTTAAGGTGTTATTTTCTTCAGTATTTTTTTGGGTCTCCTTTAGCAAGCTGTTGACTTGTTTTTCATGATTTTCTTGCATCACTCTCATTTCTCTTCCCAGTTTTTCCTCTACTTCCTTTACTTATTTCTCAAAATCCCTTTTGAGCTCTTCCAAGGCCTGGGACTGATTCATATTTTCCTTGGAGGCTTTGGATGTAGGAGCTTTGACTTTGTTGTCTTCTTCTGGTTGTATATTTTGATCTTCTTTGTCACCAAAGTAAGATAATATAGTCTGACTCTTTTTGCGCTGCGTGCTCATGATCCTGGCCAATTACTTGAGTTTTAAACTCTTTGTTAAGGTAAGAGTCTGCTTCCAATGTGGAGAGTGTACTGTCCCAAGCTTCAGGGGTTTGTATAGCTGTTTTCAGAGATACTTGTAGGGAACTGTAAATTTTCAGTTCTTCCAAGGTGGTATCATAAGGGGCAAGGGGTTTACTCCTTTTCTGTCCTGTGACCACAAGTATTCCTTTCTGTCCCATAACTGCGAGGAGGGGTTTCTCTCCACAGCCACTACAAGCTTCACCACGCCAGCAATCCTCCTCACCCCAGCACCGCCACCCAGAACTGTGACCCAGATCCACACACGGGCAAAGCAAGAGATTCCTGTCTCAGCACTGGCAAAGAGATCCCTGCAATCCCTCTCTGATCAGCCACTGGATTTCCCCCTCAGTCTATGGGCCAGTAGCTCCGGGAAGCAGCTGCCCCGCTCCAGGGCCACGATCTTGGGGAATGGAGCTGAAACCCTGCCTTCCTCTCTGAGCACCGACAGAAAGACTTTTCCCACTGACCTTCTAAACTGTCTTTGGAATTCGTAGATTGAGGAGTCTGGAAATCTCCACAGCTGCCCCTGATTCAGTCCTCTGAGACTGGCTTGAGGTTTGCTGTGGCCTGCGCCCAAGCTGTGCTGCCCTGCGCTCCCAGCCTGGTGCGATACACCTTTCTGATCAATCATCCAGGTTGTCTTGGTCTGGAAATTTGTTTCACTCTGTCTTTTTGTGGGTTCTGCTGCTTCAGAATTTGTTTAGAGCCATTTTTTAAGAGTATTTGGAGGGATTTGGGGGAGAGCTCAAGCAAGTCACTGATGTCACTCTGCCATCTCGGCTCCACCCCTCATTCACAGTAAACTTACAGCATCCACAAGCTCATCTCCCTTATTTCTTCCCATAACTCCCTTTTGTTTACTCCCTTAAGAAATACTCTCTCCTACCTTATCACAACTTCCTATTATTATTAGCTGAACACACTAGAAGTCACAGTGTCAGTTTTTAAAGAATGCAAAAGAAAATGAAGAATATGAAATCCTTCTAGAGAGATGAAAACAAAACAATTCCTTTTTGGGGCGAACTTTCCCATTAATTATTTTCTATTGAGAGTGCTTTGTTGTTATTGTTTAGTGATTTTCAGGGGTATCTGACGCTCCATTACCCCATTCAAGATTTCCTTGGCAAAGATAGTGGAGTGGTTTGCCATTTTCTTCTCCAACTCATTTTACAGATGAGGAAACTAAGGCAAATAGGGTTAAATGACTTGTCCAAGGTCAAATACCTAGTAGGTGTCTGGGAACACATTTCAACTCAGAAAAACAGGGCTCCTTGACTCCAGGCATTGCATTCTATCCAATGCTGCCTGAAGAGTACTTTAGAAGAACCCTAAACAAAATTCAAGAGACCTGGTCCTTATTCTTATAAGGAGATTAATTGGATTTATTAATCACCTCTAGGATAAAATATAAACTCCTTTACTTGGCATTTAAAGCTCTTCATAACTTGGCCCCTTCCTTTATTCCTTTCCAACAGTATCAGCCTGCTAAAAGACCTAATTTTCTTTTTCTCCAATATGACACTTCCTCTGCCAAATCCCTGCCTTGAATGTTGAATCCAAAACTGGCTATCTATTCACTACGACATGCTACTTATCTCACAAAAATAAATCAAATGTTGATTATTATATTTAACAGTATTGTGATTTTTAAAAATTTATGTATTTTTAGTTTTCAACATTCACTTCCACAAGATTTTGAGTTCCAAATTTTCATCCCATCTCACCCCTCCCCCCACCCCAAGATGGCATGCATTCTGAATACCCCTTCCCTAGTCTGCCCTCTCTTCTGTCTCTCCCCCCCTCTTCTCTTATCCCCTTCCCCTTCTACTTTCCTGTAGGGCAGGACAGATTTCTGTACCCCATTTCCAATATTTCTTATTTCCCAGTTGCATGTGAAAAAATTTTTAAACATGTGTTTTTAAAACTTTGGGGTCCAAAATTTTCTCTCTCCCTCCCTCCCCACCCACCTTCATTGAAAGGGCAAGCAATTCAATATAGGTTATACATGTGCAGTTATGCAAAACACTTCCATAGTAGACATGTTGTGAAAAACTAACTCTTTTTCCCTTAATCCTATCCTGCTCCCCCCCATTTATCCTATTCTCTCTTTTGACCCTGTCCCTCCTCAGAAGTGTTTGCTTCTGATTACCCCCTCTCCCAATCTGCCCTCCCCTCTATCATCCTCCTGCTTTCTTGTCCCCTCCCCCCCATTTTCCTGTGGGGTAAGATAGATTTCCATATCCAATTAAGTGTGTATGTTATTCTCTCCTTAAGCCAAATCTGATGAGAATAAAATTCACTCATTCCCTCTCACCTTCCACTGTTTCCCCTCCACTGTTACAGCCTTTTCTTTTCTGTTTTCTGTTTTGTGAGATAATTTACCCTGTTCTACCTCTCCCTTTCTCCTTCTCCCAGCATAATCCTCTCTCACTACTTAATTTTATTCTCCAGATATCATCCCATCTTCAACTCACCCTGTGCCCTCTAGATAGATAGATAGGTAGATAGATAGAGATATATACACACATATAATTTTTCCCTCCAACTACCCTAATACTGACCAAGGTCTTATGAGTTACAAATATCATCTTTCCATGCCGGAATATAAACAGTTCAACCTTAATAAGTCTCTTATGATGTCTCTTTCCTGTTTACCTCTTCATGTTCTACTTGAGTAGTATCATGATTTTTTAAACTAAGACAACTTAAATGATATCTAGATCACGCCATAGCAAGAAGTTGTAAAGTACAATGGATTAATCATAGGATTTGAGAAGTTGGAAGGGGCATTAGAGATTTTTTTCCCAAGTAAGCTCCTTGGAGGGCAGAGACTTTTTCACTTTTTTCTTTGTCCCCAGCACCTAGAATAATCTCTGGCACATAATAAGGGCCTAAAAAATGCTTATTTAAGTAAATTGACCCCATAATTTTATAACTCCTTCATGGGTTCAGATCAGTGATCACACACTGAATTAATGGCCAAGCTAGGATTGTAAGTCTAATTTCCATTATGACTTAAAATCAGTAAATCACAACACTAGCCAATTTAACTGATTTGAGTTACCTCAGAGGACTTGAATGGACAAAAAGGCTATTTTTCATGTCACCTAGATGTAAATATTATATTACCTTATATAGGTAGAAGAGGTGGCTGCTTGTGAGATGTGGTTTGAGAGATTCTGGTCCCGGGTAGGTATGTAAGTTGTATGTGTGCATGGTATGTATGTGTCTACATGAAGGAGTGAATGGCTGAGTAGGTGTAAGAGGAGTTTGGACACCAAAGGCAAACTCGAACTGCTTCACAATTTTCTTAGGCTTAACCCTGGTATAGTTAAATGATTTCTCTTAAGTCAGAGTTATTTTGAAACAGAACAATGGCGAGAATTTTAATGTATTCCCTCTCAGTTCAGGCCTCTTTATTTGAGACTATAGATGTTTTCTTCCTTGTCTATTGCTTTGGTTTTCCCTTCTATGGCTCATTTATATACTATAATCTTTAATTTCCAATCATTCACTTCAGGGTTTTGTACAACATATAGTTTATGTCCTCTTATCACCTTTCCCATTTCCTTCCTTGTTTTTTTTTTTTCCCTGTCTCAAAAATGGTCATTTTGAAAGCAAGAACCAGGCATCATTTGGAAACTGGGAAGTAAACAGGGGTTGCTGGAATTCAATCATGCCATGGAAAGCATATAAAAGAAGGATTTTTTTTTCTCACCCATAATCTCTAGTATTGATGTTTTCAATTAATTCTGGACGAACAAGGCATACTTGCTGGGAGCATCGCCACTGCTGGTCCGAGCACGTGCTGAAAAGATATAAGAAATACAAATGAATACTAGCCAGAACAACAAGCACATTTCAAAGAAGTGGCAAAAATGATGCATTGTTATTACAAAAATGCATTTCCTAGATTGATTTTTCCTACTTTGGCTGCTGGCTTCTTAATGAAAATAAACAAATTTAAATGGCTATAATAGAACATACCACTCAATATGCCTGTATCAGTATTTTATCTTTTCCCTCTGTAATATACTACTTCATCTGACTTTAGAGAAAGGTTTAGAAAGTGAGGAAAAAATGCATGCTGTGCTTCCATTGTATTTATCATCTCTTGCTAGGCACCAGCTCTTTCATGTTCACCTATAAGTATCCTCAGGTCATTCCTTCTAAAAGTACAATCCCCATCCACCGTGTTTCCTTGAATCATCATAAAATCTCTTTTCTTTTATTCCACAGAAAGGACAGAATATATTTACTATTCCAAGTTCCTCATTACATACACCAATTCTACGCAACATGGCTTCCATTCATCTCTCACCTCTGCAAAAACTGCACAGCCAAATATAATGAGAGAGAGGGAGAGAGACAGAGAGAGGAAGAGAGAGAGAGAGAGAGAGAGAGAGAGAGAGAGAGAGAGAAGAGAGAGAGAGAGAGAGAGAGACTCAATGTGCTAACTCCACTGAGTATAATGATAGTATCTACCTCCTACCTCCCAGGGTTGTTGTTACGATCCAATGATATAATATTATATTTGTTTGCTTTGAGGTTTTTGTTGTTGTTGTTTTTACAGGTGCTTATTACATTGCCTTGCACATATTAAGCACTTAAATTCTTGTTTCATTGTTCTGCATAAGATTTTGCAGAACACCTCTACCTCCACTCTTTGATTTGTATTCAGTGGTGTGGATACTGGAGTGAGCTCATACTGGCTTCAGAGAGTCAATTGTTAAATTTTCATTGTGAGCATTGACACTTTGGAAATGAGATAATCACATAATGCTACAAATGAGGGCTTGATTTATTGCTCGTCTAGACTTAATAAAGTCTAGATAGAGAAAACGTAAATAATTCAAATTAAACTTAAAAGTCTCTGTTGTATACATTTTGGAGAGCTGGTTAGTAAATATTTACCAGCACATGAATGCTTCTATCATTCTCTGTGCCTCATATGTCCCTTCCCATAGTTCTGTATAAAAATTCTGCCACTTTATTAAAGCCCAGCTCAAAGGCTATCTCTTCCCTGAAGTCACTCATGAGCTTTCCAACCAGAAGTGATCTCTCCCTTCTTTGAATTCAAATAGCACTGTATTTGTACCTTCATTAGAGATTTATCACCTTATATGTTTTATTATAGTTCTTTTTATAGTTGCCTTATTCTGTTTAGTAGATTGTAAACTACTGGAGGACAAGCACCTTGGCTTATCCATCTTCATATCTCTCATAATTCCTTATCATAGCATGCACTGCATACAGGGGCATGCTAGTAAATATTTAACAACTAAATTTCCTTTGGGGGATAGGGAGGGGGAAGGGACTATATGCATAACACACTTTTAAAGTTAATCTGCATTATTATTTTCTACAATGCCTTGTTAAATTTCCATAATAAACAAAGCAATAAATCAAGCCCTGATTTGTAGCATTTGCCAGTTTCCAAGGTGAAAATGCTCACACTGAAAATTTTGCAATTGGAGTTGGCTCCAATATATACCTGTATACATATTTTAGATGTCTAATAAAAGTTGGTTGAATTAATAGAGAATAAATGAATATATATATTTGCAACATCACTTCAAGTCAATTTTATGATGAGATTTTTTAAACCTATTGTTAAATTTAAGGATCAAGAGTTGACCCATAAGTGTCCTAATGTTCATTATGAGTATTAAATGTGATTCTGCTGTATTTTGAACACCGTTTTTGCTTTTCTTAGCAGAAATTAAGCCAAATCATTTGCCTTTTAAAGAATAAAAATACTAAACAGTGGTTTTAAAGATATATCTGTATTTTGATTGGCAATATTCATGAAAATCAAAGAAACTCAGAAAGGAAGATGCAAAGTCACTTTTTAAAACATTTTAAAAAATTAATTTCTGCATTTCCTCTCTCTTGATTTTTAAATCAAGAACAGTTTTCTAAACAACCATATTATAGACAGGGAAAAAGAAAGGAAAAGAAAATCACAGCAAAAAGAAATTTATTTTTCGGTTCTTAGAGTCATTACCAGTCATTGCAGTTTTCTTTAATTACAGATCCTTCCTCATAATGTCGACCATCTCTGAGGCAACCTGCCAACATAATATACAAATGAGTAAGAAAAAATACTAAATTTGGTTTAAGTGCATCGACATAATTTTAATTGGTTTTATACCCTATACAGAAATTATTTGGTACCAACTTGATAAAGGGGATTTCTAGTTTGACACAGTCCATATATTGAATTCCAGGGAACTTCTTTGTAATATTCTCTTTAGAAATGTATACTATGTCCCTAGGAAGATAATTCTACAATTCGGAAAAACCAGATTATCCTATAAGTTAATCGTGAACCACTCATAAAAAAGTTGAATATGTTTAAATGGATAAGAAAAAAAGAGTCTAAGTCAAATGTTGATATTTCTTTAGAGAAAAATTAAAAACCTAAGCAATGCTCATAAACAGGTATAACTAATTGTTTCCTGCACAAAGTCAAACAGTGCATCAGTTTTGGATAAAATATAAAATTATGTCATCCAGTTCATTTAAAGATTAAAAAAATCAAAATTCTGGAATGTCTCTCAGAAGAAAAATTTATGAAGTAGAAAAATTGCATACTCTCATCCACATTCCTTTTCAAAAATCTGATTTCAACTTATTACAACTGAAAATGTTCTCATATTGTCAAATGAAATTGGTTGATAATCCTGCCCAAGTGTATAAACTGAATACAGCAAGGGCATATCAACATAGTATCTGGAAAATGTCGCTGCACAACTGATCAACCATCCGTTCCCCTCTTCATGGTAAACTTTCCAATGCTCACAAACTCAGCTTACTCCTTTCTTCCAAACAGATGCTACTATTCTAAGAAACAAAATATATTTTTGCTGTAACAGCTACTCAGACATACCCTTTATATTGAATTAACACCAGAGGATATACCTATCTATGATAGTAGTGCATGATTTAGAAATCCCAGGTAATTCCTACAGTAAAAGTTTTTAGCAACACAAACTTTTCCTATTCATTGACTCAACCATTGACCACAGTGTGCAGAAGCATTCAGATCTTTTCATAATCTTTGTGGGACTATCTAATATATGTTTTATTTTTTTCAAGAAGAATAGCCCATAATCCTATTTCAGTAGTTACCATCTTCCCTTTAGGTCACCCATTCCTAAAAATACTGATATTTCTATAGCACCATAACACTGAAAATCTTTATTAAGCACTTATTATGTGCCTAGCACTGTGCCAGTCACTGAGCATACAAAGGCAAAGGGAAACAGCTCCTGTTCTCAGGAACTTTCCAGGGGTGGGGAGCCTCAAGGCTACAGGTTCCCCACCTCTGCTGTATACACTAACAGGAATAATAGTATGTGCATATAAAGCTACAAAATTTTGTATTAAACTATTTTTGTATGTAGATAGATAATATATGTGGATAGATATATGGACCTATAAATATATGTTTACTTTATAATTATGTTGTATATATTTTTTAAATTGTATTTATTTTATTCTATACTTAAGAAACAAAACAAGCATTTCCATAACGTGGTAGAGTAGAAGAAAAAAAGATAATTCTACATGAAATTGCAAATCCATCATGTGCAACTTGGTATTTTATATATATATATGATAAAGTTATCATTTAACTTTCTTTTTTTCCCTTTTTTCTTCCCCATACCATCTTGTCCCACTCTAGAGATGGCTACCATTAGACACAAATATGTATGTGTGTGTGTGTGTGTGTGTGTGTGTGTGTGTGTGTGCGCGCTCGCACATGTGCTTTAAAACATTCTATATATACTTCTATTTATCAGTTCTTTCTTTGGATGCACATAGTGTCTTCCTACATATGTCTTTTGTAGTTAATTTGGATATTTATAATAGTCAAAATGACTTAATCACTCAAAGTTGTTCTTAAAACAATATTGTTCGGGGTAGTTAGGTGGCACAGGGGATAGAGCACCTGCCCTGGATTCAGGAGGACCTGAGCTCAAATCCGTCCTCAGACATATAACACTAACTAGCTGTGTGACCCTGGGCAAGTCACTTAACTCCATTACCTAGTCAAAAGAAAAAAAACCAACGTTGTTGTTACTATATACAATGCTGTCTTGGTTCTGCTCATTTCACTCTTCATTATTTCATGCAAGTCTCTCCATGTATATATTTTAATGAGGCAGCGAGGTGCTCAGTGGATAGAGTAGGCCTAAAGTCAGAAGGACCTAATTTCAAATTCAGTCTCAGACACCTGGTAGCTGTGTTACCCTGAGCAAGTCACTTATCCTCTGTTTGCTTTCCTGGAGAAAGAAATGGCAAATCACCCCAGTATCTTTGACAAGAAAACCCTATGGACAATGTTGTCATCCCGCGGTCCGCTGGTCATGAAGAGTCACACACAACTGAACAAGAAGCATACATTTTAATATATAATTGTTATGTCCCCTATTAGAATATAAATTCATTGCCTGTGCAATATTTAATTCTTCATACTTGTATCCCCTGTGCCTAGAACAATGTCAGGCACATGGTATTTGTTTTCTGATTGAAGACTAGCACAAAACATATATAAAGTAGATACAACCTAAGAGGGAAATAACATGATCAGGAAAGATCTCACACAAAAGGAAATGAGAAGCCAGTAAGCATCTAAATTCATATCTTCTTACACTGTCTTGTATGTTTTAGGAAGGGAAAGGAATGCAAAGGAGAAAAGAAGGGAAGGGAGATGAGAAGTTACAGTCCAAAACTTCAGAAAAGGTTTTGCCCAAAATATCTTAGGTTCTTTGGAGGAATGAGAGTCCATAGTTTTGTTCATTTCTTCTCCTACCAATTGCATTTCATTATTAGTTAAATATTAGAGTGTTTCTGTAACTGAATTACATATCTAATTATGTTTATTAGAAACCTTTCCCACTCCAAAAGGGGAAAATGGCTTTCTAGACCTCTTTCTACATCATTCTTTGCCGCCTGATGAAGTGTTCAAGTTGTATCCACTTACACTACAAATCCAAAGGTTATGAAATGGTCATATTTGTCAAATCAATTATGCATGTAGACAAAACCATCAGTTCTTATAAAAAGATTTTTAAAATGCTTAGGGAAAACTAAAGACAATTTCTACTTATACAGCTTAAAAAAATATCATAGTAAGCCACTCAGATATTTGAAAGGCAAAGTTTGGGCCCCAGGTGGTGTGGGGAAAGATAAAACAGTAGACTTCCTCCTAAAGATCTGCTAGTCAACATGAGTCTGCCCCCAAATTTTGCATCTTCTCATTCAGTTTCATTTGCAGTTCTATATTTGACATTTGAAGTCATCCAAACACTTAAGGGTACTATCAAATATGAGAAAAAAGAAGATAGCACGTACTAGTCTACAGACAGAATGTAACAGCTTCACACAATTCTATTCTTAAGACTGAATTCATAGCATGCTGATTAGAAATAAAAAAAATGTTTTTCAGAGTAGAGAACAGTGAAGAAAATTGGTCACTATGACATAGCTAGAATTGAGAAATACTTAAGAAAATTCTAGTGCCATAAACCATTTATGACAACTTGGGAGAAAATATCTTTATATGGACAAAGTATTAATACAAGTAACACATTGTTGGCTCATTTGCTGGAAGTCAACTGTGAGCTCTTTTAAAAATAAAGTACTGAGCTACTTTCTTGAACAGGGTATAACGTTACGCATACATCTTGATCTTCAGCATCATTGTCATCATCATCATCATCATCATCATCATCAACAACAACCAAGCAATGGTAGTCCATTATTAAAATTTTTCTATGAAGTAAAATGTTTAAATATGCTACTTCCAGGACAGAAAAAAATAGTTATGTGAGATCCAGATTATTCGGTCCAGGTGGAAATAGAGTAAAAATTATACCTACCTTCTGGAATGGGATAATAATTTCATATGAAAGCAAGAAAGAACCTCAGAGGCCATCTAGTTCACCTCTTCATTTTACCAATGAGGAAATAGCCCTGCCAAGTTTAAGTGACTTGTGTATGGTCACATAGTTGGCAGAAATGGGACTGGGACACAGGTCCTCTGAATTTCAACTTACTTTGTATTATTCCAGCAATTCCACCACCATTTATTGAAGAGTTCAAATATATTTCAGCCTAGCCAAAGCACTTGAGTCTTCAATATCTTTTTTTAATGCCAAGGTAAACAAAACTGAAAATAATAAATAATCAAAATGCTGGCAATAAGCATAACAAACATTGTGCTTTAAAATGGTTCAAAAATTTTAGTTTGGACTATAGTTCAATGTCCATTAAGATGTAAACTAATTGGATTAGCCTTAATTTTCAATCATCTACAGATAGAACAAGATGGGCCAGGTAACAAAGAAGATCTACCCAATCATCTAGTTGATCCAACTCAGATGTGGCTGTAGATCACTAGTAATCAGACTCTTGGGCTGGTCTGGTTTGGAGAGGTTGCTGTGTAGAGAGAGAGAGAGTTACTTGTCACACATCTTGATCTGTCACAGGAAAATAGAAAGCCTTCTGTTCCACAGGCACCACTACTTCATCAGGGAGCTAAATGATAGTTTTGTTTTTTGAAGAATATATGGTGCCAAATGTTCTACCTAAGGTTATATCTAATAGAGCACAAAGGTTGATGAGGACATTCATCAGGCTGTGATTCTCTAGTTTCCCAACTCAAGGTGCAATGAGGCTAACAGTGGCATCACACACTCCCATTAATTTCAGAGGGAATAATACAAGGACAATTGACCAGCTTCTTGTCGTGTCTCCTATTTTCCTATGATGGGTCAAGACATGGGAAAAGTGACTGAAATGGACCTGTGATTCTATGGCATAGGGAATTCACAGGTAAAGAGCTTACCCTCTATCAATATAGATGATACTTCTATTCTAAAGGGATTCCTATGCCCCAGAATCACACAGCTACTAGGGGACAGAGTCAGGGCTTGAACCCAGGCTTTCCTGACTCATAGACCTGTTTTCTACTGACTACACCATTCTATTTCTCATAAAAATAGGAGAATATAGAAAAACTTGAAGTGAAATATGAAATGTTGCGAAGTGAATTAAAAAGATCCAGGAAAACAATATTCACAGTGACAAGAATAATAATAACAAACCAAGACTGAACAATAATTATAAAGGCTAAACCTGGTCCCAAAGAAGAGGGAAAAAATGAACCTCTAGAAGTGAGAGAATCATAGGATCATAGATTTAGAAGTAAATCAGACCTTAGAAAACCATTTAAGCCAATCCCATTTTACATTGGAGGAAACTGAGGCCCAGAGGTGTTAAGTGACTTGCTCAAGGTCACACAGTTGGTAAGCATCAAGGTTGAATGTTGAACCCATGTCTTTCTACCATCAAGACCATCATGCTATCCACCATACCACCAAGATTACAGTATGTAACATTACATATTTTGTCATATTTGTTTGATGTATTGGTTAATTTTCATGAATCGCTTTTTTTTTCTTTTTCAGTATAAGGGATGTAATGAAGGCAATATAAAAACAAAGGATAACAATAACTTTTAAAAATAATATAGAGTCTCCACCAATAGGTGTCACCATTCTGCTCTGAGCCAAGATAACACACTCCAAAGGCGAGAAGCTAGACTTTTAAAGTGTTCAGATGGGGCATCTACGGACAGCACTGTATAAGGATGTCTACATATGGCCATCAAAACCTCTCATGGTCCCATTAATTTAAGCAAATAGAACAAATTGTAGCATTAGTCTTAGGATTTGTATTTTCCGCCAGGAAAGACCTTATAGGTCATCTATTTCAAGCCCTTCCTTTAACAGATGAGGTAACTGAGATCCAAAAATGTGAAGTAATTTGCCTTTATCAGGAGCACAACTGGGCTTTGAACTAAGATCCTATAACTATGGATCTGTTTCAACTAATTAGACTCTAACCAGGTAACTTTATCATATAGTACAAGATGTTGTATTTTATACTTTACACACTACTAAGAGGTGCTGTCCATGAAGGCTAGAAAGAGCAAGGTGATCCCAGGACTGTAGAAGCATAGATTTTGAGTTTGCAGGGAACTTAGAACCCATCCGGTCTCACCTCCTCATTTTACACATGACAAGAAACTGAAGTCCCAAGAACTTAAATGACTTGTCTAAAAACACTCAGACCATTAGAAGGCTAAAGAAATTTATTTCAAGAAGAAACTCCACTTTTACTGCCAATATTTACACATGGTTCTTATTCGTGTCAAGGGTTTTATCCACATGACACCAAAACAATCAATTAAATGATTTTTTAAAAAATTAATTACTTTAAACTTTTTTACGATTCCCTGAGTTGCACTGGCATCATTGGAGAAGGCAAACAGTTCTGTGGAAAGAACATGGACTCTTGAGTGAGAGGACCTAGATTCAAATCCTACCCTTGATATGTAATACCTGTGTAACCTTGAGTAAATCATGTAAGCTCCCTATATGCCCAGCTGTCTCAGAGAGTTGAACTTGACCACCAAGATCCCTCAGAGATCAGAATCTATAATCCTATGCCTAAGTATCATAAATTGAGGAAGGAAAGTTGCCAGAACACATTCATAAGCTAAATATCATTTAAAAATCATTCAAACTCAGCATGGAAGTGTCTTACACCAGAAAAATCTTAAATGTACCTAGAGAACGTTCCAATTTAGATTGGCTTGTTTAAAAATAAATTTCAATAATAATGTAATAGTAGATTTATTTACCCACTAACTCATTTTTACTTATTTATTTAGTTTACCTTTATTTATTTTGCTTCTTTTGTTTTTCTTTCTTTTGACTTATTTATTTAACCAGATTTATGATTTTATTTAGGAAAATACCTCTGTGAAAGTGTCTGTATAGATTGCTGACAGTTAATGTCTCTATAAGTATATTCTCAGAGAGTCACCTGGAGCACTAAGAGGTTAAGTGACTTTCCTGTGGTCACATAGCTATGTGTCAGAGGCAGGATTTGCATCCACATCTTCCTGGTTTCAAGCCTGTCCCTCTTTCTACTACCCTCTACAGTCCCTTCAGACACCCATGTATACCCTGAGGAGCCCAGGTATTTGCCAACCACTCTGTACCTGTAATCTCGGGTCCTCTGGGCCTTTTCATCTGCCCTAAAGTTAAACCCTTCTTTATGTTTTGCTTTCCCCGTGCCTACCTTTTTGATACAGATTGTCTCCTTGGCAAAAGAACTTGTAATCAGGACAGCAATCAGAATTTTCCCTTTCGCAGAATTTATCACAGTAACACATGGCATTTGCCTCATAGAAATGAGTTACACAGTCATCATTTCTGTCTTCACAACAGCCACGAGTCCTACAGTAATGTCCCTTGTAAAGTGCTCTTTTAAATCTCGTTCTTTCCAAATCAGTGAAATTCCCAGTCGAATAAGCTTGTAGGTTCATACCTCTCCGGGAGACAAATTGCTTTTCCATCCAAATTTCCGTTGTAAGGTAAAAGAAAATTAATAATTTGTACCAGGTCCACATCCTCTGGTCACTAGATGACTTCTCCCACCTTCTCTTATAGTGATAAGGTAATCCAGTATCTGTCACTGTGATGATCCTATTAACGTCTTGTTAGATTTGTTTGAATATCTGGGTCGTGGCTGGCAATATGTCTCACTGGAAACCTACACACCAGACTCTTACTTGAACTGAATAAACTTCATGAAGTTAAATATTAATCACAAATTTCAGTGTTTAGCCAAGATAAAAGTAAGTGTTTAAAACAGGCCATTCTCATTCTTCAAGTTAAAAATAAGTTATATTTTATAGTGCATTAAAATTCTTCTTTGCCATTGGGAGAAAAATACCCGAATTTTGTGAATGGCTACGTGAAGTATAGGTTGGTCCCAAATCTTGAATCTCAAACCAGACTTCCTCAGAATACACATGGCCTAGATGATTACCAAGGGGGCCATTCAAAATGCTGAGTCAATTTATTCATTCTTATTTGCCTGGCAACTAAAATCCAGACTCTCATGAGATTGCCTGAAAAGATCTGTCATATCAATAAACAGTTGTTCTAAATCATGCCTGGTCACACACTGAACTCATTTCCCATCTGTACCAAATTTACCTATCAAAAACATTTTTGAGTGGCTTAGTAGAACTTAACGTAACTAGAAATCTCAAGAGAGGGATCTTAGTTCTCCCCAATTACACCCATGCTTGGTATTGATTGGAGAATCTGCAATATACTCAGCTCACCATGTGGTGAAGGAGACACCATTCTCCCACGCCATTGAAAAAAATGGAAGGTTCCAAAAAGTTTATGGAGAAAATTTTGAAGGTCAAAAATGCTTCTCCAGCACTTGATACTTACCGTGTGTGTGTGTGTGTGTGTGTGTGTGTGTGTGTGTGTGTGTCCATCACATAATAATAAATTGGGAGACAGCTTAGGGTAGAGAATAAAAAGCTAGCTTCAGAGTTGGGAAAACCTGAGTTGAAACTCTGCTTCTGAAACAGACTGGCTGGCTTATCCCACAAGAGTCATCATACCTTTCAGTGGCTCAGGCAAATTTCTAAGACTTGAAGTTTCAAATGAGCTGACTACCTATGCCGATAATGATAATAATAGCAACAACAACAACAATAACATGGACATAAAGCCTTAAGCAGCTAGATGGCACAGTGCATAGAGCACTGGGCTTAGAGTCAAGAAGACTCGTCTTTCTGAGTTCAAATCTGGCCTTAGACACTTACTTGCTGTGTGACCCTAGGCAAATCACTCAACCACATCTGCCTCAGTTTCCTCATCTGTAAAATGAACTGGAGAAGGAAATGGCAAACCACTCCAGTATCTTTAACAATAAAACCCCAAATGGGGTCACAAAGAGTCACATAACTGAAATAACTGAACAGCAAAAAGAAGAAGCGCCTTAAGGTTTGTAAAGAACTTTGCAAATAGTATCTCATTTTAACCCTGCAACAATTCTGGGAGGCAGATGTATTATTGTTCCCATTTTACAAATTAGGAAATTTAGGCAGACTGAAATTAAATTATTTCCCCAGGGTCACACAGCTAGTAAATGTGAGACTGGATTTGAACTGAGGTGTTTCTGACTCTAGATCCACCACTCTAGCTACTGTTTCACGTAGGGAGTTCTCTATACAGATAAAATAATAGGACTAGCACTATAGTGTAATGTAATACACTGTTGGACTTGGAGTCAGGGAGAGACCAGTCCAAATCCTTCCTGAAACACTAATAAGTATGACCCTAAGCAGGTCACTTTGTTTCTCTGGGGCTCAGTTTTCTCATCTGTAAAATAAGGGTAGTAGACTCGATAACTTCTAAGTCTCTTTCAATTCAAAATCTATAATCATATAATATCAACAAATAAACATTTATTAACTGTCTACTATGTACCTGGCACTGGTCTAAATATTTTATGTATGTATGTATGTATGCAAACACATATAAATTGACTATAGTAATTCTCATTGGATTAAGACTAGGTAATAAGCACGAAATAACCCCAGAATATCATAGAAATAGATTGGACCTGAAAGACAATGATAGGTAGTCTAAAAACCTATGTATAAATTACATATTTTTATTGTTAATCAAATGTTTTACACTAAAAAGGCTAGTTATTGAAACCCTCTATGTTAAATGAAGAATCCTTGAACACCACAAATAAAAACCCTTTATTTTTGTCTTAATTCTGATTCTGAGATTTTAATTTTTCTTTTAAGAAAAACAAAAGAAGGATTATAAATCTGGTCCAATGGTAGTGTCAGCAATTTCATGGGTATACAGAAGCCCCCAGTGAATATATTTCCTCCGCCTTGCTCTGCAGTATACAGTCTTATAGAGTTTCCTGGGACACTGAGAGATTAAGTGACTTTCTACAGGGTCACACAGCCAATAGGAGCTCTGTCAGAGACAGACCTCAAAGCCAGACCTTACTAACTCTGGCCATTTCCCTCTCCATTACATTACATTGTCTCTCATTATGTGGAATATGTTACATTTTACCAAGGGCTTAGCAGAAAATACCTAAATGGAGAGTCTCTCTATACCCTATGATCCTAAAAAATTCTCACTCCCTAACCCCCACTGGCAAGTAAAGGTGCCTGAAATCCCACCATTAGAATGTCCTCCTTTTTTGGGCAGAGGGAGGATTCCCCATGGCTTTTTAGTTACCCATTTCATCCTTTAAGATGGCCCCAGGTATAAGCACTCCCTTTAGCCTCTTCAAATAACACCATGATAATTTAACAGCCAGCTGAGAGCAAGGCCCAGCAGAAACAAACAATAGGAGCCAGCCAAAACCAACTTCAGCCCTTTGCAATTTTTTCTCCTGCACCTCAGTTAAGAAAATGGTAACTGATTCTCCTCTGGGTCATCAAAGACTAAGTTAAGGAAAAAACTTAAATGGTATAGACAAAAGCAAATCTTCCTGACACCCAGGATCATTAAAAATAGAAAGCTCTGCTGAGGGAAAATTAAAAATGTTTAAAACCTCGGGAGGGTTTTAAAGGTAGGATACATTCTTGCATGTCTTCAGTGTTCTAAGTGTGCCATTGCTTAAGATACAGAAATACCCTGTGATCTGCTAATGTCACTTTCAACCTGATGGCTCTATGGCAGGTGAGATGTAGGACAGGGTGTAGGACTCCTCCCTCATATATTTTTTGTAGTGTCTCTGACTAAGCCGAAATTCTACATGTGTCTCAAAAGTTAATTGTTAATATGGAATTGGTCTAGAATTATTCAATGCTTAAAAAACAATTAAAACTTTAACAGATCTTTGAAGTGGAACAACCAATCCTATTGCAGATCCGTAAACAACAGTAACTTGGTATATTTGGCCCAGGTTGTGTTTATTTTTGTTTTCCTACACCATATTACTAGGAGACCTAGTTTTGCATTCAAATTAATGATTCCAATTCTGACTTTCCCTTGCTGTTGGGTTTCCAAGATCATTCTTTTGACACTTTTCAATTCTAGGAATAATTGTGCACAGTATAGTGATTTGTATAGTGCACATCTGTGAATTAATGCAGGCTAGAAGGTTGGATTAGAAGTCAATTACAGAAAAAATGGTAATGACAGAACAGCAGAGTACTCACATGGTGGCCCAAGACAATCCACTTAGATGGGGGGGGTGGTAAAAAGGGGGAAGAGTCAGCGACACAACTTGAATCTTATCCATTTCTCCCCAATTCTCCACTCTTAAGGCTCTAGGAAGGCCCTGTATTAGGATCTGTCATCTTCTGGCTTTATGCACTCCCATAAATGAAATAGGAAAATGGGGGTAAATTGGAGAATAACATGTCAAAATAATAGGAATGAAATATTTAAAAAGTAGATGAAAGAAGAAAAAAGGCCAAAGAAAAAGATAAGAATGTTAATATGTACATATATGTATATATATACATATATACATATATATGTGTGTGTGTGTGTACATATAAATACATATATGTATACAAAATCCATGGATATTGGAGGAGAGGGGCGAAGAAAAAGTTAAGGATAAAAGCAAATATTTTTGAAAAGGAGAGAAATGAGAGTACAAAATAAGGAGAGTAATGAAACACAGGGAGAGAATATGGCACAAGAGAGAAATAGGAAATATGAAGAATTAGAAGACAAAGAAAGAAAATAGCAAAGAATTCCCAGTCCTTAGTACAAGCTCTTTCGCATAATTCAGTCAAGCCTGACTCTTTGTTACCCCATTTGGGGTTTTCTTGGCAAAGATACTATAGTGGTTTGCCATTTCCTTCTCATTTTACAGATGATGAAATTGAGGCAGGCAAGGTTAAGTGACTTGCCCAGGGTCACACAGCTATTGTCTGAGGCCAGATTTGAATTCAGGTCTTCCTGAGTCCAGGCCTGGCACTCTACCCACTGTACCACCTAGTTGCTCCTTCCAAATAGTAGGGCTTATTAAATGTTTGCTGAATTGAATATGCTTCATTTGAACATAAAATAAAAGCTATAGGAGCCTGAAGAAGTTGTGACCAGATCCCTGGAAAGTAAAAAGAACCATAGAATGGTCACCTCAATCTATTATCTGAACTACCCAATGCCAGAGGGCATTTTTTGGTACAAGTCCAGCTCTCTGCCTCTCAGACAGCTGTCTAGCTCTCTCCATTTACTTAGTCTCATTCCTTTGCAGGAAGTACATTTTGTCTCATTATTCTAAGTATTCGTGGTACCTATTCATTTAGATCTTGGCTCCATACCCCATCCCACTAGGAAAACTCTTCTCTTTTGCCTTCACTGCAATGGAGTAATGAGAGACTTTTGCACTTCTGTGGAGAAGGGCCTAAGCATTTATGTAGTGTCTATGCCAGGAACCGTGCTAAGCACTTTACATATATTATCTCATTGATCTCATTCTGTGTAAATCATCAATCAACTACAGCACTATTAGGTTAAAAAAAAGGGGGTGGTTAGTTAAATTTAACCCACAGACATGGATTTCAGAAACAGCAGTCATCTGAGTTTTACCCATTTCCACCAGGGATAGAGCTCTACTTTCTCTGGCCCCAGCCTCAAGATTCAAAAGAATACAGTTCAGATACTTGACTCAAATCTCCCAATACCCAGTGCCATGAATAGGAAGGAATAAGTCACTCACAGAGCCAGAATTGCTAGGGGCTGAAATTTTTCAACTT